TGTCATCAATATTCTACATAGATTACATTTACTTATTGGTTAGCATTGTATTATATGCAACTTAATGTCATGATTTATAATTTTAACTCTTATTTTAATTATTTTTTAAACTTTCAGGGTTATCTTGAGCTGTTCACAGGGGTAGGAATGATGGTGGGCCCAGCCATTGGTGGGGGTCTGTACTCAGTAAGGGAGTTCATAATGTACTGATAACTGTACTCTTCTAATTTAATAATATACATAACTTAGTCGAAGTCTTTAACATTGAAAGTAGAAAATGTCTGTTAGCTTGGGACAATAGTGCTGTAAAACTTTAATACTTAAGAAATAGAACAAGTTTTACCTCTGACCGTTTTCTCAGTTAACAGGGTATGGTCTTCCATTCTATGTGTTGGGTGGAGCCCTAACAGCAGCCGGAGCCATCAGCTTCTTTTTCCTGCCAACACTAGACAGTAGGTTCATCCTCCTTTAATATAGAAGCTTATGTTGAAAACCTATAGATAGGGATTTTAATAATAGCATTAAAAGGGTCAGATGTTAACAATAAAAACCAGTTAAAAAGGACATTATGGAAAATTTTGTGTAAATGTGTAAATCATGTGATTTAAATAATTGCATTTAAGGTGCCCACAGGACACTCTCTGTTTCTGTCCTCCAATTACTGAAGAGTTCCTTTGTGTGGTGTGTGGCAGGTTGTATTGTCAGTGGATCATACACCATTAGTTACATGGAGGCAACACTAGCTAACCACCTACACAAAGTAAGGTACCACTTGCCACCTACACAAAGTAAGATACCACTTATCACCCACATAAAGTAAGGTACCACTTACCACCTACACAAAGTAAGGTACAGTGGAGCCTCATTTATCCGGACGCTTTGGTTTCCAGTGAATTTGTCCGGATATGTGAAGCGTCCGGATACCTGAATCACCAATAAACAAGACAATATTATGTTTAAAAATTCCGTTCCGATGAAAAGTCATCCGGATGCTGAAGCATACGGATATCTGGCGTCCGGATATCTGACTGTACTACTTATCACCTACACAAAGTAAGGTACCACTTACCATCTACACAAAGTAAGGTACTACTTATCATCTACATAAAGTAAGGTACCACTTACCACCTACATAAAGTAAGGAACCACTTACTACCTGCACAAAATAAGATATCACTTACATGAAGTAAGGTACAACTTACCACCTACACAAAGTAAGGAACCACTTACCACCTACACAAAGTAAGGTACCACTTACTACCTACACAAAGTAAGATACCACTGACCACCTACACAAAGTAAGGTACCACTTACCACCTACACAAAGTAAGGTACCACTTATCATCTACACAAAGTAAGGTACTACTTATCACCTACATAAAGTAAGGAACCACTTACTACCTACACAAAATAAGATACCACTTACACGAAGTAAGGTACCACTTACCACCTACACAAAGTAAGGTACCACTTACCACCTACACAAAGTAAGGTACCACTTACTACCTACACAAAGTAAGATACCACTGACCACCTACACAAAGTAAGGTACCACTTACCACCTACACAAAGTAAGGTACCACTTACCACCTACACAAAGTAAGAAATAATTAAAATGACCACAGATACCACTTCCACTTTAACAAAGTAAGGAATCACTAAATATTCACACAAAAATAATTTAATCCATGCAAAGTATGATATTGTTCACCATGTACTTACACAAAGAAACCACCAAACACATGTATCATGTACCACTTATATATGCAAAGAAACCATTTGCCTAACTTATGGTTATGCCAACACAAAAGCACAGCACAGTGAATCATTGCATAAAAATGTATCAGTAAATTACATAAGGTATATATTGTATATATATATCCTTTTAGCTGGGTATTGGTACTGTGCCAGTGAGCCTCATGTTCCTGATTCCCCCCGCTCTGTACGGCATCACCTCTCCCATCTGGGGATGGATATCAGACTCCAAGGTAAATCTCCTTAAAACTATTTCTAAGTTAAACTTTAAAAATTATAACACCTATATACTGAACCTGACTGCTTTTTTTGACAGAACTATGTGGTGTCCCTAGTTGTGGCAGGTGCCCTGTTAGCCTCCATATTTTTCTTCACCCTTGGACCCTCACCAATTTTTCCATTCCTCCCTTTGTAAGTAAAATTTTTATTCAACTTTTTAGGGCTGCCAAAAAAAACCCAGTTCGTCATTTGGTTTAGTTTAACTCCCGAAAGTATAGTAGACGTCACAATGATCTGGTTTACGTCATAAAATTGATGATAATGCGTTGACCAAAGAGTTTTAGTAATGTTTTGTTAAAAATTAAAAAGAATTTGAGAGCGGTGCCGAATTTGAAAGTTTATGTTTATTTCAAAGATTTTGCTTGTTTCGGTATAATAGAAATCCTCAGGGAATATGATTTTTCTTGGCTCAATAAGTCTTCATATTTCCATCACTATCATGCAATAAATGTATAATATATCCATCATAACTGAAATATTCAACTAAAATCCAAAACATAAGTCCTAGGAAAGATGAAATCATTATTGAAGTTTTCATTTTTAATTTAAAACTCAGAATCTTTAATGAAAAATTAAAGCAATAGAAGGGAGGTAACTTGTGTTCATGCTTCACCTTGTACTAAATGATAGCTTGAACACCATCATCACAACCTTTCTATGGATAAAGTTATAAACTGTAAATATCAAGATATAGTATATTGTTACTCACAGTTAAATTCCTCCTGTTTATTGCAGCTCCCTATGGCTGGTCTCTGTGTCACTAGCCGGAGTCGGGATTTTCCTCAGTTGCCTTATGATTCCCAGCTTTACTGCAATCCTTGTCGGAGCAGAGTAAGTCTACAGTTAACAAAAAAGTATCAAAAACCAAGGCTTACAACAAAAAGCATGCAGCTTTAATCCCATAATAGTGGGCTCTTATCTAAAAGAGCATTAATTTCAAAATAGTGATGGTGTTGTTATAGATATTAAAAATTTATCTCCACTTTTTTTTTCATAAGATGACATCAATAATTTGTTTAAATGTGATAATTAAAATCATAATTTTTGTTTTTCAGACGGCTTGGAATGGAGGATAACTTGGAAACATTTGGTATTGTGTCCGGACTCTTTAACTCCTGTTATTCCTTTGGGTATGTTATCCTAGATAATTAATGTTAGACCTTAAGTATACCCGCGTCTTCTGAATATGAATTACTGTAGTAAATATATAAGATGCTGAAACCTATGTTGTTCTATACAGTGTATGTCCTATGACTTTCTCCTTTTGTAATACAGTGCGTTTATTGGTCCTATCTCGGGCAGTGCCTTGGTTGATGCGGCAGGCTTTGGGTGGGGATCTACAGTTTGTGCTGGTCTGCTCATTCTGTCGGTATGGTCATCGCAACTATTGTAGGCTCCATATTTTAGCAGCTTTGGCGTGGACATCAATGCGCTAATGCATGAATACATCTAAAATAATTATTTATAAATGCAAAACACGATAAGAACAGTCATAAGCACTAATTCATGATTACTAGTATGCCAGCGGCTCCATACCCAGTGATTGCCCTTTTTGAATATGCCATATTAATTACATGTACGGTATTGTAAATTTTTTTTTTACATCATTTAATACCAAATTTAATCCCCCTTATGATAATGCTGCTGCAATCCCTGATTAATTCCCATATGATTTACATAGTCTTGGAATTTAAGCCTCTTCAATGTTGTAGGGTCTAGTTCTTTTGGTATTTGTGACAGTCAACAGAAACAAATTTGGAAAAGTAAAAACGTTACTTCCAGCACAAAGAAAATTTTCTTTCAGGTAAGGGTCACATTTGGAGCATTTTCAAATACTAGTAAATGCAAAAAAATTTCAAATAATTTTTGCAGGAAATTTTCTCAATATTTAGGTAAAATACTTGTACTGTAATTAAATCTATTCTCATTCTTTTGATTCAATCTATATGCATATTTCAAATTTACATGCGAGTTTGTGTTTTAGTAGGGGGGAGGGGGGGGCTACCTGAAGATATATTAACACATTTCAATAAGTAAATTTGTCACATTGAGACCAGTGTTTGGATACAAAAAAATAGGTTTGTAACAGATCATCATATACACCATTTGAAAATACACATTATAACACACTTATAATGAAATGTCAGGGGCTGACAAAATAGCTTTGTTATCTATAAGCATAATTCATTATTTCCCAAATTTACAATAGGTATTTTTAAAGTCATGTGGAATAAAAATGACTTCACTGTGTTTATTCATTATAATGGTGTACGATATAAATATGTTTTACTCTACATGTTTGTACTAAAATGCCATTCCTCTCTCTAGACGTGGCAGGGGTTCAGCAGACACCGAGATGTCCAGTGGCTTTGTCGACAAAGAGGAGACTGAAATGTGCTCACTTTGACTCATACTTTACTCACTCAGGATACAGCTTCACAAAATATTGTACATAGCTTCAATTTGTTGTATATAGAACACCATGTAATTAAATACCAAAATGAACAGTTTCTTTTTATTCTTGAAAACAATCAGAAACAGAACAATCAAACAAAAGCTGACAAACTTCAATAAATTGTAACAGGTTTTGACTGTTTTAGTTTAGAGAGATTATTTTACTCAGATTGAAATTGACACATCAATTTTCCCATTCAATACTAGAATAAACTTGTTTTGGATTATTTTCACTTTACAATGTATACATTTACAGGTATATAATTCATTACAAGTGTCAATCAAAACACAGTGGATCTTCAGCACTAATTTCAACATCAATTCATTTTCTTCAATTTGATTTATCACAAGTAAATTTAAAATATACTGTATCAATACCATCATTGTAAGATAACAGTTTTTGGTCCATTCTAAGTCCTACAATATGGGTTTGTGGTAATAGAATGGACCAAAACTCTGTTGTTTTTGACAATATGTAAATACATAATACATGTATATACTACTTTAAAAAAAACAAAACAAAACATCTGTATATATCAAAAGAAAAATAAAATCCTGATTTTTACAATTGGCAGTGCAGTGAAAATATGTGATTACATAATAAAAAGGCAATATCCTAAAATAATAAAACTATAGAAAAGTTTTTCTTCAAGAAAAGATAGATATATAACTTTTCATAAAACAACTATGTACATTGACTTAGGCTTGTGGAATTTAGTGCAAACAACTTTGTACATTAAAAAAAAAAGTAACAAATATGTCTTCTCAAAGGAAGCTGTAAATATACATGCTTAATTGAATTGTAAAAGTCCTGAAGTTTATTTAAATAAAGTCATATTTAGATTTTAAGAAAAAGGACATATATATGTAACTGAGGTAGTTCAAACAAACAAATAACAAGCAACTTCAATTGTTGCCCTAGACATAACAGAGTGTAATGGCTGATGATAATTATTTCCACCAGTGGAATGTGATTTTGTAGATGGCTTTGGGACAGTTTTCTACAGTTGCCTCCCCTGGGTAGTCTGGCGGACTGTCACATTTATATGAACACTGCCCAATAGCCTCCTTGGTCAGGGTAAAACCCCGCTCCTTAAGGTCGTAGGCGATACAGTCCATAACCTCCTTCTCCGTTGTCCGGCTGGTCCAGGGACCCAGGATGAAGTCCACCTTAGTTTGTTTCTTGTTCTTGACTTTCATCGTACACCAGTGGTTCTTATCAAATGTTTCAAGTTTAGGCTTTTTGTCTTTGGCAAACAGTGTCACCAATATTGATGAAATAGTTTCTGTATTTTGGGAAGAATCCTTATAAATTTTGTTGATGATGGAATTCACAAGTTTTGTGTAACCTGGAAACTGGGCCCTGAAGCTTTCCCTGTGGATTTTGGCGAGAAAGGATGGATGTTTTTCCAGCTCCTCTACCATTCCCTGCAGGCCAAAGTACGCAGCCTCCCGGTAGATCTTTGGGGCTATTTCCTGTGGTGGGAGCTCTCCATATCTGAGGTAGTTCAGGATGTAGTGGAAATTCTCCCCGTCAGCATCAATAAAGTAACGCCCATGTTGATCTTTCTTAACATCATAATTTCCACTGAACATTGCAGCTAGCATTGTGTCCTTACATTTCACCAAGGTCAGTAAAGTGGTTGTGTAATGCTTTCCTCCCACATTGAGCTCAATAACTGGGGGAAACTGAAAATGATAAAATTAATTAGAACTTCAAAGTAGAAAAAAACAAAGGAGCACTGGCACTTGTTTTGTACATACACTCTGCCTGGTTACCTGCTACCTTTTCTTTCCAAAGTTGAGGGTTATATAATATACCCTGTATACGAAACAACAGTGTCTTTTCTTAAAAAAAATATGTATTAGATCTGCTTATAATTAATTGCACAGGAATCTACATTAAAAACTTCTACAACTCTCATGGACACTGGAAGTTATTCAAATTAATGTAATTATTGCGTGTGTGCACATATTTTTGTACATGCACATACTCAATATTTACATTAACTTCCATTGCTCATGACAACTATTGCCTTTAGTTAGAATGATCTAACTGTGTCTCGGTACAAGCCCTCACCAGGTCCGTAGGCCAATATCATTTTAACGATAAAACGTTCTATCTACTATTGCCTTCTTCAAGCTTATAGGAGATGTTTATACATGGGCTATAATATACTTAGCCCATAGCCATTGGTTTTTCTCTTTAGATAACATGGATAAGGAAGATCATTTCAACACTGAAATATATCTTCATGGATCTAGTAAGAAGCATATGCTTAGCATAATGTTAAAATTAGTGCCTTCTATTAATTTGCATTGCAATGAATTTTTACGATTGATTCCTTGATTATGTGTACAATGCACGCTATGCAAGGTTACATCATGCATATCTTGAATGCGTTACGCTTACTTCCCCTTATTTGTACAAACTCAAAGAACAAATCCATTTGACAAACTTCAACTGCACTCATCAATAAACTCAGTACAGTAAAAAAAAGTTACCCTTTTATCCACTGATCCTTCCATCCTTCTCGAAAGGATAGGCTACATAGGCTAATGTTTGTAAACAAATAATGACGCGTAACTCGGCATTTCCCGTGACATCGGAACTTGACGGAAAAGACCGAAGTAGACTCCCATGCAGAGTTGTCGTTCGTTACTTTCTCTGTTCATTGTACATAAGCCGATTGAGATCGAGAGAGTGGTTCTTTCAAAAAATAAATAGTTAATTAATTGAAGGATTATGAATTTCATTTCAATCTGTTAATTATTTCATTTGTTTTTAATATGAAATATTAGAAAAAGTTACATTTCTTGAAATGTACAGATTTTAAAATTATTTTTTTTAGTTAAAAAGGAACATAGATATAAATTTGAAGAAAAAATGTTTTAAGTGCATAATTTTCAAAGTGCGCTGTATTTATGCCAAAATAAGGAAAGCAAAAATACGCATTTAGAAATGTCAAGAAAGTCAGCTCAACATATTTAATTTTTATTCAACATAGAGGCCCATCAGCCACATTGGTCACCTGAGCACAGTAGTTTTGGCTGCAGTGTGTACTACATTCTTCAAAGATGAACAAATCAAAAATGTATCCACACAAGTGACACAACATGGATTCTCTTCAATATTTAATGTGACTAACACGGCGATAAAAAAAATTACATATCCACACAACCTGAGAATGTTTGTACGTTATGGAAGCTAAATGAGTTAAAAAAAGAAATGGAAAAAATTATATCAATGAAATGAGTTCATTATGATATATGAGTTATCTGATTAATTTTCATTAAAGAGTACCTGTCATATTCCACGGAAAAAAATTGTTCCAAGACAAATTAATATAAGTAAACGAAAATCACTATACAGTTATTGAATGGGTATGAGGGCAACATATATGATTTGTTGGACATAAAGGTGGAAATGTTGCCCGAGGCCGCAGGCCAACAAATCATATTTTCCCCGAATCCCAGTCTATAACTGTTTTGTTTCGTCTTATAATATATTTACAATATTTGCACACCACCATGGTAAAATTTGTTTAATCTTTTTATTATGTTCATTAATGAAAATTTAATATGGCTTTTTACAAATCAAAATGAGTAAATCGTAAGATTACTAAGTCAATTCATATCAAAATATTGTATATGACTTTTGAATATTACTATATTGTAGTTACAAATATTTGCACACCACCATGGGTAAATTGGTTTAAATAATATATTTTTATGTAAATTGTCTCTATTTTATGTGATAATATACTTGTATATAGAAAATTTTGGTCACATGGTGAAATAAGGACCCGAGATCTGGCCCACGAGGTGACCTGACCGAGGCCGCGTATAGTCTAGCGAATCCTGATCAAAGTAAGAATTCTTCGACATAGATATAACGGTTAGAGTTTCATACTTTTCAATACATCGGTAAAATGAAACAATTGATTACCCATTTTGAGTTCAAGATGGTGATAAAAGGACCCGAGACCCGGCCCGCTCGCTGACTTGACATATTAATTCCTGTCTTACAATCATGGGCACTTGTTTCGGTAATAAATTTTTAATCCATAGTATAATACATGTAATTTTAAAATATTTCCGAAACAAGTGTCTGTGCTCTAACTGCATAAAAATACCGTATAAAGATACTGTATTAGAAGATAGGTTCAAATATTTGAATATAATTATGTTAATTTAGCATTTCATAATTATCTAGGACTCTTCTTGTAGGAGAAGCATTTGGATCTCTGAATTATACCGGGTATTCAGTATTTGTAAAATTAAAGGACCAAAAATTTTCAATGAAGTGCAATAGTCAAAAACATTTTAAGAAAGAATGAGACGTCAAAGAATAAGCAAAATCCGTATTAGGTGTCCAAATCATCAAAGTCCACAAACTACTGTATAATATAATATATATTTTTATTGTAGGCACATAGACATTGTACATTTTCGTCTTCATCAATATTGCTTACACTTAAAGTTCACCACAGAGTGCACTGTGCTCTCTGACAAGGAAATCAACCCAGACACCCGCACTGCAGCACCCCGCAGACGATTCCTCGATTCAGTGAACCTGTACGAACAACTACTGTATCTAAATGGCAATCAATAATTATTCCAAATTGATTCACACCAAGGGCAAATAAAATTCAATGCAGAAAATGAGATACGAAAAATACAGCGTCTTTTAAATCAGATTGTATGTTTTAATTCGCAACGAGACGTTGACTCGAATTGACAGATATTTAACTATTGACCGTACTTTTGTATTTGCTGAGAGTACACTTCTGTTTGACAATACAGAGAATGACAGGACTACAATAATTGATTGTAGATTTACATGGCTATATATATTTTTTTTGAAACTTAAATAACCAAATTTTGTGGTGGATAATAGGGCGTTATATTTTTAGACTTTGCAGGTTCTGAATAATATCTTTTCGATATAGAGCACATTCACATGATCAGAATTCAAAGTCAATGCACTGCACTGTATCTGCCTGTGGCAAAATTTCTACTAATCCAAAAAAGCATCCAATTGTACCTTAATGCAACACAGTACAGACGATTGAATAAAAACATAGACCTAAATCAAGGTCTATGATAAAAATACACAAGTGTATGATTGGTCGAATAAATACTCAAAAAAACTGAACATGCTACCATGAAATATGTGGAGAATACGAACAGTATTCTCGCTCAAAAATCCATTAAACAGTACAGCAAACGTGGACCTCCAAAATATCACAGGTGGGATCAGGTGCCATGGAGGAGTGAGCATCCCCTGCCGGAGGTCACACCCGGTGTGTGCTCCTTGCCATGATTTGGAAATAACGAGAAAATCCGTCGACAATTCAGTGTGTAAATAATGGCTTAGAAACAATCTGTACGAAAAACATAAGTCAGCATAAGACCCTCTGTGATAAAACAATCCCTTTCTTAAATATTTTAGAAAATGACATTGACACAATTTTTTAGGCTGAATAATTGCAAATAGAGACTTTAAGTTTAATCTGAATATGATGAATGATTCATATAAAACTTCCCGTTATCACATTCATTAAAGTCTTATCCTGGAAAGCACGGAACGTGGCTCAGACCTGTAAGGGGACTGTCCAAACAGAGACTGCTTTATTACGTAATTTTTAGTAAACCAATTAGATCGAAGTTTGTTGCTGTCCGGAAGAGTAAGAGCAATCGATAAGTTTATTAATCTAACAGATGTGTACAGGCTAATTGGTTTTATTGGAAGTATTAAAACGGTTAAATTTGTACATTGGGGAACGTTATTGAATCTTAGTAATTCCCTTAATCGTCTCAGAGCTCACATTCTAGACACAGACTGTTTTCCCCTAAAAGTTAACCAGAGAATATTTTTTTCCCAAATCAATATAATTAAAATACGATCGGATAATTCGTAGTGATAAATGCTAAATGCTTCAACTAATACTTGAACAAGTGGCGGATCACGACTTCTAAATAATGGGTAGGGGTGGCAAATTTCATAAGGGTTAAATGACTACAAAAACTCACATTACTCGTAATTAATATGAAGTAGTATTAATATAAATTTATTCAAAGCAAATATACATTGAACCATGAACAAAGCTGAAGTTTATACTATAGGTCTCTAGAGAAGTAGGAGATTGGGGCGACAAATATAACTAACTTCCTTTGACGAGTCATATTCAACTTTAAAGTCGATTTTTTAATTAAAATAAGAAAAGCAAGTAGTTTTTTTCAACTTTGTTGCTCATATATAGTTTAATCGAGCTCTTTTGTGCCATTCTTCGTAATGTATTTTAACACACAATTAAACTAGAGGTATACTGTGAGCACTGAGCTCACTAAATGATACCACCGCCTCCCATATGCTTATAACTGATGACAAAGTCCATGTTTTGCTGTGGCCGGGAAACCCAAAATATGTGTCGGATCAAAAAGTAAAATAGGAGGTGCACAATGGCAATATGTAAGAAAGATTCTGTGAAAGTCTCATTAAATTTCACTCAATGGTATAAGAGGAGTTGCAGATAAGACATGGGTACTCTAAAGCGTAACAGACAGACGGACGGACTTACCCATGCCAAGAAAACCTTAGCATTCTCTCCATATAGCAAACTCAATAAAAGCCGAATTAACGTTAATCTGTGATTCTTCCCCGGGGAGATGTGCGCCAAGCAATTAATGTCAGCAGGTTTGAGGGAGGGATCTTAAAATTTACTGGGTTTAAATTATAGGTAGAATTCTAATTATTTAGAAGATTTGCCCCCCCCCCCTGTCTTTTTTTGGGGGGGGGGAGGGCGGGAGTCAAAAATAGGGAAGGAAATTAATTATAGTAAAGTAATTCTTTAAAAAAATAAGCTGTATTTCAATTTTTTACGTAGTTCAATTTCAAAATATTATTTCTTAGTACAAATTGGCTTCTGGTAGTTGTGGAAGTACCGCGTCGAAATATAGATAAAAGGGTACCAAATTCCCGGACGCTTACATCATTTCCTGGTTGAACGAGATGGAGACGAGTACTGAATGGGTAGACGTTACCCGATTGGCTATGTAAACATTTTCATTTTAAAGTGAATATTTTCTGTTGATTTTTTTTCTTATTTTCTTCAATCTAACTTTTTTAAATATAAATTTTGGTACCATTGCCTCTGACATTTTACGTATTTTGTAAATAAATAAAGATTTTTGACAGGAACTATTTAGGGCATAAGGGACTACTTCCTGGGGTAGACGTTTATTTTTTCTCTAAGAAAGCTAAGAACCTAGGATTCACCCCCAGAAGTCTGCTGCCGTAAATTGTCTTGCCGGTGTAACGTTGAATTTTGACCCGGGTTGAAAATTGACCCGGGGGTCATTTTTCAACGTTGAATACTGAGACCAAAGGTGTTGAATTTAGACCCTAATCCGTTGAAAACTGAGCCGGGTCGTGGAATTTTGATCATGAAACCGGTTCAAAATTCAACAGCATAAAAACACATATTTATGATTGGGTTTTCACTACTGTGATTTAATTCATAGGTATGAGGGCCCGTTTTGGTATTTACTGCAAAAAGTAATATCAAAGTAATATTTGAATATTAAATGATATCACCTGTTCCAATAGATGATATCACCTATTTGATTTGAATATGTGATATCACCAATTCGAAAAGGTGATATCACTTATTCGAATTGGTGATATCGCCTATTCGATTGGGTGATATCACCTTTTCCCGTCGAACAGCTGTAGTTTTTTTTTTTTTTTTTTTTGCTTACAAATAAATTTATTTCACTTATATATCATGTATACAACAAGAAAATCGTCGAAAACGCATGAAAACTGGGTAGTCCGAATTTTCTTGATTCCAGTGGTAATCTATATATCATAGGGAGCATTCAGTATTGATTGTTGTAAGAAACTCAAACAGGTAATATCACCTATTCGAATAGGTGATGGCAGTTATTCAAATAGGTGATAGCACCTACTAGTATTTAGCAGGAAAAGGTGATATCACCTTTTATTCTAAGCTCTCTGATTGGCTCAAACTTGATCACATGATTAAGTATAACAGCATAAAGACGAGTTACTATTTATAGAATCTGAAATGCATATTGACTTCATGTTTTTTTTTTTTTCTTGTGACCATATGTTATATTGCAGGAGTCCTTTTAGAAAATTTCATTAACGTGAGTGACATCAAATAGTATTGATTTCTCAATTAAAGATAATACAGAGTATGACTTGATGTTTCTGAAAAAAAAAATTCTACAACTTGTATTAATATTTTTTTAATGTTCCGTAATTGATGAGACGTAACAATGCTTTAAAGTCTTGAATTAGGATCTACATGTACTTTATATTAAAACATATTAGATATCTTTGTCAAAAATTGATACGAGACATAATCAAATTAGTATTCTGAATAACTAAATCCTCTATAAATACTCCATCAATGAATAAAACGAAACACATTTATTTAATATTAAACAGCAATAGCTTAATTTATGCTGATCTCTAGTCTCTAAGTCTTGAAGAGAGAAAACTTGTGCCCTATTCCCATATTTTCAAATTTTGTTTTGTCAATCTACGTGATAAAATGATTCATATTTGATAATAATGTTAAACGTTACATTCCTATTAAATTGAGTTTACAATTCTAGTTTAATTTGTCATATTACCCAGAATGCAATCATGGAAATTATTGAGAAAAAATTAAAAAACATCGCATAGGAGATCATAGAGATAAAATTATGTAATAAGATGAGAAGTTTATCGAATAGGAATCATCTTTTTTCGAATAGAAATGGATGCTAGTATGTTTTCGAACAACAACCTTATTGCATATAAACCAAATAATTATCGAATAAAAAAGATAAAATTATTGAGTAGGAATGACAAAATTAGCGACTAGCAACCGATTGTTTTAAATATTAATGACATCGAATAGGAAACGCGTGTTTTCGAGAGAAAAATATGTAAATTTTATGATATATGAATCACATTGTCACATTTCCTGTAATTGGAATAGCAATTTATCGAATACAAATTACAAATAATGGAATAGAAATTACAAGTAATCAAATAGGAATCACATTGTATAAAATAAGAATTTTTTAAAATAAGAATAATCTCATTCTCAAGGTTATGGTCCGAAAGCGATCAATTTTCAAGCCGAGACAGGCTACAGACAAATAAGTTAATTTTTACAGGGATTTCAGCAATTTATTTAAAGTCAGCATTACTTACATGCTATGGTCGATATAATATTGCTCTTTTTCACAAATATAACCTATCATTGGAATCATTTTGGTCGATGTGTTTCATTCTAACTTTTAGGCTATTAATTTTGTTATTTTTATACTGAATTTGACTAGATGGAATGTTCCACCCGCCTGATCAATATATATAGGGCTCACTTTCTAGACAGCAGATTTTTAAGATTTTTGTTTTATGTCCTATTCGTTGTTTTGTAGTTATTTATGGATGCCATGGATTTTGGAAAGTATTTTCAAAAATAAAGTTGTCATGCTTGAAGATAACTGAAATCGTGCACTGATCAAAATGTACATATATACACGGGGAGATACTGTATGTTTATTTCTATTATTCTTGAAAAGGGAAAAAATTGAAACCCAAATATATATAAAGTGATATTGCATGATAAATCCCGTAAAACAACTTCCCAGCCAAAAAAAAATGTTCAAACTTTGAGGTGGGGTCAATATTCAACAGGGTCAATTTTCAACTTGTTGACGTCGTCAGGTGTAAGAAAAAAATTATCAAGCTGTTGAAAAATGACCCCGGGTATAAATTCAACGACTTTCGGTCTCAATATTCAACGTTGAAAAATGACCCCGGTTCAATATTCAACGTTGAAAAATGACCCCCGGGTCAATTTTCAACTCGGGTCAATATTCAACGTTACACCGGCGTTTTGGGAATATGGGTGATTTGCATCAATTACACTTTTATTGACTCCATCGCTGTCGAGATCGAACGAGATTTCTTGGCATGGATTATAGTATACCCTCCCACTTTTCAAGCGGGGGGTATAATGATCACTAGATTAAACAAGGGGTTGGTCCGTCTGATACAGAAATGTAACGACACTAAGATCCAGAAATGAGACCTGTAGGACTGAACAGGAGATACATACGTCAAGATATGTGTCCCTTTTTAAATATTCGTAAGAAAAGATTTTTTTAGAAAGGCAATCAAAAGATGGTTACTCTCTTATTTCGCTTTCATGAATAAATAATGTTTTAGTTCAATTGATTTTTAAAAGAATAAAGTGATAAGATGTCCTTAATAGATAAAACAGTCGCCTCCTTCTGTCCGGTCAAACACGAGATTTCTGGTGATAATGACTCCAGGTCACGTGGAGCTGAGGATTCGTGGTCCTGCTTTATCCATACTCACTTCATCCACCTTACAAGACAACTAACACAAACTATTCGTAATAATTTATGATGGCTATAATTTCATGACACAGGATACTCCTAATAAGAAATCTCCTTAGAAGTTTTATCGATCATTCTTAGCAATTCTCATTAAACACAGAAGGAAAGGAGACACCAAATATAAAAATGCTAAATGGCTTATCAAATGTCACGCAATCAGAGATATGGAAAATAAACGAGAAAAGGGTCCACATAAAACAAACAGTATCCAAACAAACGATACAATATTAACAAAAAGCGAAAATAGTATCCAAACAAACGACAAATGGTTCTTATAAACCAACAAACGGTGAAGAGTAACCAACTGGGAGAAGACCAAGTGCGGATCTTTAATTAAAAGACAATAGAGATGGGATCAGGTGCCAGGTGGGAGTAAGCATCCCCTATCGACTGGTCGCACCCGCCGTGTGTTCATTATTTTGATCGGGAAACCATATATATACAATAAAAACAACTAAAATGGAAAACGTCAGTCTGTATTCTATGCTGAATGATAGGTTGTATTTGTTGACAAGGTAAATGTATCGACCGTAAAATTTGCTAAATGGTGAGACTGCTGTTATCCTTGTTTCATCAACTTGTTTGCCTATAGTTTGCATCTTTTTAGAAATTATTCGTACGTAGAGCATGTTCCTGCATGTTGAATCAACAGGGAAACATAAACCTCATATGAAGGCTATAAGTACATACTGCTACATCAGTAAAGGAAATTGACGATTATATTCTCCCTCGCTTTGTTCGTCCGAATTTAAATTGTTTAAGTTAATCAAATTTTCAATTTTGACAAGATCATAGACATATATAGAGGGCGTATACACTCTCCTTAAAAACATCAAGGTCAACAAGATGAAATACTACGCTGACTTACATCAACAACAATTTTCCAATCTTTTCTAGACACAGTAAAGATTCTGGATGATCGAGTGGCGACGGGCAAATATAGACCCTTTTCCTATGACATATTTTGCCTAAGAGTTATTCCCTTAGCCGCCATCTTGTAGGGCAAAGTAGTGAATTTACCTCTGTGGGCAACCAATTATAAACATGCATGCAAGAAATATATGGGGAAAAATAACTACAATCTTGAAATTATGAATTAATAGAGGTTTTGAAAAATGTATATTCATAAGAAAAATAGTGTAATATTTACTTCAGAAACCAGTTTAACAAATTGAACTTGGTTGAATAAGGAAAGGATCTGAATATGTTGCCCTACAATATGGCGGCTAAGGGGAAGAACTCCTAGACAAAATATGTCATAAGAAAAAGAGACAAACATATAGCTTCGAATCATCGACCCGTATCACTAACATCTATCCTTTGCAAACTTTAAATTGGAACACATTATAGATAGCCAAGTAATGGATCATCTAGATGAGAATTCCATCCTCTCAGACAGTCGACATGGATTCCGAACAAAGCGTTCCTCCACTATCAATGGACTGGCTCGGAATCTTGGAGGTAAAGGTCAGGTGTACACGTTATTCTACTTGACTTTTAAAAATAGTCCCCACCAACAGCTAGCTCATAAGCTTATCTACTGTGGGATTCGAGACACCACTCTTCAATGGATTACAGACTTCCTAACAGGTAGGGCACAGCAAGTGCTTCTGGAGGGCCATACTTCAACAACTGCACCGAAGCTGACAGGAGTGTCACAAGGGACAGCCTTAAGACCTACACTATTCCTCCTCTACATCAATGAGCAACCTGAAGAAACGCTGTCAGATGCTCACCTTTTTGCAGAATAATATCTACATGTATGCAGATCAATTACTAACAGGCTGATGAGATACCTTAAAGAAATTTCTCGATTCTCTGATTAGAAGGGAGGATTGGCAAATGGCTTTCCACCCAGAAAAATGTGTAGTCATACAAATTATCAACAAGCGGAATCCCATAACTGCTGACTACACTATACACGGGCACCTCCTATATATGGTTGATTCCCGCAAATACCCTGGACTCACCATCAGTAAACATCTACGAGGGGACAATCACATCAATAACATTGCATCTAAAGCGAACAAGACACTGGACTGACTTCATCAGGCGGAATATGAGGGGATGTCGGACATTTGCAAGATCTGCAGCATACCAGGGACTTCTTCAACTAACCCTTGAATATGCCTGTGCAGCATGGGATCCCTGGAGCTCCAAGCAAATCTGACAGCTTGAGAAAGTGAAAAGAAGAGCAGCTTGATTCGCCACCAAAAACGACCATGATTACCACCCTGGCAGTGTTACCAAGTAGTAATGAGAAGAATCATTGAAAATAAAACGTTTTTCGTTAGAAGATCAAGATGCATTAGTGGCTATACCTGCAGATCTGTACATAAGACCGCGGAACATTAACTTGCAAGATTGTGCAATATGCAGCTTACGTCATTTCAGCCCGGAGAACCGGGATGCTCTATACATTTAAGTTTAAGGTAGGATTCTTCTCTGGTTTCCGACTAGATGGAATATTCAAAGTACATTTGTTGTTATGTCTTATATATTTAGATGTAAGAGATTCAAAAGACTATATTTTTCTTTCCTCATCACAATTATACAACTTTAAATAGAAATGGTAAACTTTGTTTGAAAACTAGCAGGGACTATATTTTTGGCGGAATGGTGGCGTATGAAAATATCTTCTTTTCTGCCACTCAAAATTATTATAGAACATTGAATTTAGTTATAATTTTTATGCAATCAATACGGAAGCGTATTAGGGCCGCAGCAGTATTTTTTTTTAATTTGTTATAACAAATTATCAATTTGTTTAAACAAATTATTAATTTGTTTAAACAAATTATTAATTTGTTTAAACAAATTATCAATTTGTTATAACAAATTATCAATTTGTTATAACAAATTATCAATTTGTTATAACAAATAATCAATTTGTTATAACAAATTATCAATTTGTTATAAGAAATAATCAATTTGTTATAACAAATTATCAATTTGTTATAACAAATTATCAATTTGTTATAACAAATAATCAATTTGTTATAACAAATTATCAATTTGTTTAAACAAATTAATAATTTGTTTAAACAAATTAATAATTTGTTTAAACAAATTAATAATTTGTTATAACAAATTAAAAAAAAATACTGCTGCGGCCCTAATACGCTTCCGTAAATCAAAGATTAGATGAAATTTTCAAATGTAAGTTAAATTAATAATAAGGGACTAAAGTTTCAAAATATAGCAAATAAATAAGATTTTTCACACATACTAGAACTATGTTGGCTTTTAAATGCTTCAAATCTAGTACAGGTTTTCCAAAAACATTTAAAAAGACTGTTAACGATCAAAACTTTTGTTTTTGTATCATTTTGTACCTTTATGTGACAACTTTAGTATATGTGAAAATTAGAAAAAGTTAAATATTATAAAAATAAAGCAAATATCCATTTTATTTAAATTATCCATGTTTGGTCATATCATCTTATACAGTATCTTTTTAAAAGAAAAACATTCAATCTTTTGAATTACAAGTAGGGATTCATGATTGGAAACAGTAAATTCTAGATGTCCAGGAAAAAGGTAATGACCTTGACCTGACCTTGCCTCTAATATTAAACGGTCAAATTTAATATCACTGATACCATATAGTGATATTGTCCTCTTGATTCTGTGAAAATTTCATTAATTTTTAAATACAAGAAATGTGAGAAGAATCCTACCTTAAGTGTTGATATATGGGGATTGAGAAGTTATTCAGAATTAAAGGTTTTCTAAACATTTAAAAGACTGTTAATCAGAATGTTCTTTCCCTTTATAAATTTACAGATACATAAAATATTTTTTTCCGTAAAGTGAATCTGTAAAATATATATGTTTTTCATATTTAATACATAAATTTGCTTATCATTTACTAACGAAACAAGATGTTTTTTATGAAACACTATACGACCGGCGGCAACAAAATTCGAGAAAAAAAACTTTTAGCATATAGGTCACAGTCATGGTTCAAAAGTTATGGAGAAGGTTCAAAAAAGCTTTTTTAAGCATATGGGTCACAGTCAAGGTCACAAGGTCATTGACCTTGATGACATTTGAAAGAACTTTATTAGTGGAGTATGCATACCAAATATGAAGTCTCTATCTTTCATGGTTCAAAAGTTATGGCGAAGGTTAAAGTTTGCAAACAAAATGCTATTTTTAGCATATAGGTCACAGTAAAGGTCACAAGGTCATTGACCTTGGTATCATTTAAAAGAGCTTAATAAGTAGAGTATGCATTCCAAATATGAAATCTCTATCTTTCATGGTTCAAAAGTCATGGCGGAGGTTAAAGTTTGCAGACAAACAGACAGACATGACAAAAACAATATGCGCTGCGATCTATCAATCCGGGCGCATAAAAACGACAGGTCCTTTTTTTTAGAACATTGAATTTTACTTATCGTATAAAAACGTACTCTACACAGTTCGTATTTTATTGATCTGAGATTGCCCTGACTCTAACCCCTGCTTTTATATTGTGACTTGTGCAGGGGAGAGTCAGAGCGGAGGCCACATTAAAAAGTGGGAATTCAGCAACACCAGCTGGTGTCGCAACTCTGCCTACCTTTTACAACTTTATTTCGCGGAGCTAACTCTCGAGACGGGAGAAATCAGTAAAGAGATGATTCTTCTACTTCTATGCGTCCGGTGGCAACAAAGTTAAAAAAACATATTTTTAGCTTACAGGTCAAAGTCAAGGTCACAAGGTGATTGATATTGATGTCATTTGAAAGAACTTGATCAGTGAAGTATGCATACCAAATATGAAGTTTCTATCTCTCATGGTTCAAAAGTTATGGTGAAGGTTCAAAAAGCTATTTTAGCATATAGGACAAAGTCAAGGTCACAAGGTCATTGACCTTGATGTCATGTGAAAGGGTTTAATTAGTGGAGTAGGCTTGCCAAATATTAAGTCTCTATCTTTCTTCGTTCAAAAGTTATGGCGAAGGTTAAAGTTTACCACCAACAAAAAAGCTCTATTTAGCGTATAGGTCACAGTTAAGGTCACAAGGTCATTGACCATGGTGCCATTTAAAAGAGCTTAATCAGTGGGGTATGTATACCAAATATGAAGTCTCTATCTTTTATGGTTTGAAAGTTATGGCTAAGGTTAACGTTTGCAGAAAAAACTATTTTTAGCATATAGGTCACAGTCAAGGTCACAAGGTCATTGATATTGGTGTCATTTGAAAGACCTTTATTAGCGGAGTATGCATACCAAATATGAAGTCTCTTTTATTCATGGTTCAAAAATTATGGCGAAGGTTAAAGTTTGCAGACAAACAGACAAACAGATAAACAGACAGACAGGACAAAAACAACATACGCTTCGGATCTCTCGATTCGGGCGCATAAAAATTGGTACTGAAAGAATTTGGCATTGAAAAAAAGTTGGCTTTTAGCCCCCCCCCCCCCCCCCCCCCCCACACACCCACACACCCACACACACACACACACACACACTCCTCCACGAAATTAGAATTTTCGAGTTTGGGCAATTTTCCCTTTATATGCTTGTCAGCTTTTTCAGGTAAGTCAAAAAAAATTTCTCTGACTGTCCCCCTTTCAAAAACGATGCTTCGTGGCTGCAAAGCAGTTTAGAGTAGAAAGGGATTTACTAAGAGAATTCTTCAAAAGTACAATCACCCGAGCAGTTATTAATTCATTATAAAGAATGCGTTGAGGTCTATTGGGACGAGCATTTTTTTTTCAAATAAAAAAATTAAATACTTTGAATATCAAAAAATGCTATGGTAGAAAGATGTATATATTTATTAAAATCAGAAAAACGATTGAAATATTTTTTTTTTCAACAGCGCAGTACACTTAAGGTGTGCAATGGAAATAAGGACATTTTGTAATTAAAAATGTATTCATAATCGGGATAGCGATTATTTTAGTGCATTATTTATGTCGGATAATTGTAATTATGGTTAATAACTACAATAACTACTACCCGGGTTTTCCTAGACTAGTAGACCCATTTTAACAACGCTCAATATTGGAGTTGTAATAAGATCGGGATCGAAATCCAGATTTATTAACAAAACCGCGAAAGTGTTGTGATTATTTCAGACAGAATTTATTCATATACCTTTAGGATCCAAAAATTGAATATGCTTTGAATAGTTTGATTGTGCAATCGGCTGAATCAAGCAGACGGCATGGAGATAAGCACGGAATATCCCAAACCGCGACTAGTAGTACTGATCGGTCATTCATTCATTACAAGGCTTGGTGTATTCATTAACAATGAACAAGAATTTGAGAACTTACGCCTATATAAAGGTGAATTTAAAGTGATGACTCGTTCCAGATGCAATGTTAGCACCCACGAGCTGGTTTACGAAAGAGAGCTTGACTTTCAAGATGTCCATACCGAAGGTGGTATTTGCTTTATTCAGGTTGGCGGAAATGATTTAACAAATCCACAAGCAACACCAAACAGCGTAGCTGGACCCGGACCACAATTAGCTTACATATAGACTTATATAGTAAAAACATGTGTTTTATTTTCTTTGTAACTTTTTTAAAAATATTCATTTCCAAAATATCTTTGACCACATGATAGAGCAATGTGTCAGATAAATATTCACATCCAGAAATAGGGGTGTTGAATGTGGAATTCCCTGGTTATTAATAATCTTCTGACGTCATGACCTCAGGATAGCTCTCGCTTGGCAAAAAAAGTGTAAACAAACCAAATGAATGCTCTTTTCAATTCATATTTCTAGGCATAATTTTTGCA